ATTGTAAATGTAAATCTATGATTAGTTTCTTTTGCATATTTTATTTATTTCTTATGCATTAAAGTCAACAATACCAAGATGTTGTTGTGTTTTGTTAATAATACAGTATTCTATAATTTCTTTACATACATCAAGTAAGAACTAAGCGTACACTATATTCATTTTTAATTAAGTTGTTAGAAAGAGATGTAAATTACATTTTAAATAGTAAATATAGTAAATATACAACAATTATTGTCGTAGTTGTATTTTATTTCAAATGAATGTCATTAATTTTAGTTCAATATTTTACGAAAAAATATTTTTTCGAAACAAACTTTCGATGCGATACAACGTAAGGAGCGTATCACGCAAAATCTAAAATCGAGTAGAATAAATTTCATTTGTTACCGTTTCGTTTGAATAATTTATCAATGTATCGCCGAATATCTAAGATTTTACCAGCGGTCGAGGCTATCTGTATTTGTATAAACAGAGTAACACGTAAAAGAGTATTTCCATCATAATCGTTGCAAATACGTCCAAAGGTTCAACCAAATTTCAATTGGTTTATGAACACGAATACGTTAAGTATGTGCGTTAGATAGAATGTGTGAATGCGCCAATGCATAGTACACCATCTCATTTATTCAGTATTTCATATATATCATTTGTTGATGCTATCACTTTTTGTGTATTTTTATGTGCTGTCGATTTCCGACGAGACGTAGCGCATATTCTACACTATCAAGATTAAAAATATTGACGCAAAAAACGGAACTAGCATCAACGCACCTCGTTTACGGACGGTCGGACGTTGTCATTTGAAAACGGAAGCCATCTTGTGGCCGAGCCTCCCATATTATACAGGGAATAATAGTTCAACGACTATTTGTTCCGTAAAATTGCTCCGTATATTTTCCATTACGTCCAGACTATGCATGAATTATTGTATCACATGTTTACATAGCCATGGCTGCGACGAGAAAGTTGCAAGGTGAGAAGAAAATGTTTCCAGCATGTTTACATTTAGAAATTTTGTTATGGCTCTCCGCTGATACCGAACTCGGATTTCGTTCTTGCTTCGCATTCTGCAGTCCTCTGCCAGTTTTAAACGTTTGTATTTTGTGATCGGTGGCAACCCTATTTTTAACTCGCGTTATCTACTCTTGTGTGAAAGCCTTCTGTATCTGACAGTTGGTACAGGTTGCCAGAGTATGATGAACTGCTGTGTTCTGCCTCAACTTTTCATACGTTTCGTTAATGCAAGTTATTTTTTCTTGCGTGTACTGTATTTATAGTAGCCTCATACTGCCTCTTTATGTCAGCATAACCTTTAAAATAGTTCTGCATTTTATTCCTATGACACATTGCACACAATAGTACAAACTATAACACAAAGCTTATGCCGATATAAGCTCTCTGTCATGTATCACTTGGTAAACTATTTTTATGATTTATTACTAGTTTTGCACACACTGAAAACAACTGATAGTCGGTAGGAGTGAGAAATAGGATGTGAGAAATTGATTGTTATGCTATTTTACACGTAAATAAATCCAATAATAATTTTTAATTGTACAATCTCTTTCTACTAAATTTAAAATATTTAATCAATGTTCTTACTCGAAATTAATAATGCTCTTTGCTCTGTTGCAGGTGAGATAGATCGGTGCCTTAAAAAAGTAACAGAGGGTGTAGAGACATTTGAGGATATTTGGCAGAAGGTTCATAATGCTACAAATAGCAATCAGAAGGAAAAATATGAAGCAGATCTCAAGAAAGAAATCAAAAAACTCCAGAGGTTACGTGATCAAATTAAAACCTGGCTCGCATCAGGTGAAATTAAGGATAAGAGTACGCTTCTTGAGTATAGAAAGTTAATTGAAACTGTAAGTATATTTTAACACATTTTTGTGTATTGGAACTGTAAGGAATTAAAATTGCATACAATGGATTGCATACATGCCTTAGCAAATGGAAAGATTTAAAGTTGTGGAGAGGGAGACGAAAACAAAAGCTTATTCGAAAGAAGGATTGGGAGCTGCTCAGAAACTTGATCCAGCTCAAAAAGAACGAGAAGAAGTTAGCAATTGGCTTGCAAATTCTATAGATGCTTTAAATCTTCAGGTATGCAAAAAATACGGTGACGCTTAAACAACAGTGGAGAATATTTTCTAAAAACGCATTGATGATTTCAATGTAGCTGGATACATTCGAGTCCGAGATAGAATCGTTACTTGCTGGAAAGAAAAAGAGGTTAGATAAAGATAAGCAGGATAGGATGGATGAGTTGAAAGCGAAACTCGATAAACATCGTTACCATATCCGTAAATTGGAAACATTGTTACGCATGTTGGACAATATGTCTGTTGAAGTTAATACTGTAAGTTTATTAATATAAATATAGTTATTAGCCAAAATTTAACCACATTTATTTAGTTTTTTAACTTGTTTTACAGATTAAAAGGATAAAAGATGATGTAGAGTATTATATTGAATCCTCGCAGGAACCTGATTTTGAGGAAAATGAATATATTTATGATGATATTATTGGTCTTGATGAAGTTGAGTTGTCTGGAGTTGGTATTCCCTCATCAGCAACTACCGATAGTAATAATAGTAATGAGACTGGAGGTACACCAACCTCAACTAATTCTGGTACTTCACCTATACCGTCACCTCCATTGAGTTCCACTATGCACAATCATTCAAGTGATAGTTCTACAGATAATGACAAAAAAACGAAGGTACGTAATTTTACATAAATAAAATCAAACAAGATCAATACCAATGATTCATTACATATGTGTATACGAGTATTGATAATTGTGATACAAGGAGCATGATATTCACTGTGTATTTAAATTTCAGCCTGTGAAACCAACAGCAGTCAGACCATTATTAAATTCACAGGCGAGCATTCCAACCACGGGAAGCACTGCCACCATAAAATCGAATTTATTATCAAGCAGCACTCCAAGCAAGACCATTCCCATGACGCCTAGCCATAGCTCGCCTAGTTCTACAAGTAATCATATTGCTACAACTAATGCTGGCAATTTTGCTACAGTAGCTGCTTCGCATACTAATTCACAAGCCATCCATTCTACCTCTAGTAAAACATCTTGTAAGTATCTCGTGAAAATGTATCGTTGCAGGATATCGTCATCGATAACATTGTGATTTGCTTTTGAAATTTTCAGCTCATACCAATGAAAATGGTTTATTGTCATCATCGTCCGCGTCTAGTGTTACCTCGAATGTGCCACAAACGATCTCGCAGCAGCACAACAACCCAGCGCCCATACAGACGACACATGTGTTGCACAATCAACAAAATCAGAATCATAATAGTGAAACTGAAATGACAACGCCGATTCCACCATCTTCGTCTCCACAATCGTCAGTTAGCAGTAGATCTTCGCCTCTGCCCGCAAATTCCTGCTCGCCAGCGCCATCCACTGCCAATGGTCTCATCCCTAAGCTTCCTGATGGCATGTCCTCTTTGAAATCTATAGCCCAACAAGTAATTGTCCGAGCAGGTCTGGAAATACCACCGTCCGAGTCGAACAGAAACATCTTTGACAGCGCTAAGGTGAACAATAATAACAGCAATGCCACCTCGGAAGCACACATTCCTCCTCTGCTTGGCGTTGCACCTCTCGGACCGGTACCTCTTCAGAAAGAACATCAGTTGCAGTTCCAGATGATGGAGGCCGCTTATTACCATATGCCTCATCCGTCTGATTCTGAACGTTTACGATCATATTTACCAAGAAATTTATGTCCAACACCTCCTTATTATCAACAGGTATCATTACATCATTCATTCTATCATTATTTAAATTCAGGCAAAGTTGACATGCGCTAACAGATACCAAGTAAAGTGCTGATGAATTCACATATCAACTCTGGCTATCTTGAACTCTTGAATATATATAATAATTTTTAGTTTCTCCTCCCAACTTTTGATTCATGCGTACTTAACGTATTAGGTTCAGCTTCCCCACTCTGATACTGTGGAGTTCTTTCAACGTCTTTCCACGGAAACATTATTCTTCATATTTTACTACATGGAAGGTTCTAAAGGCCAGTACCTGGCTGCAAAAGCTTTAAAGAAACAAAGTTGGAGGTTTCATACGAAATATATGATGTGGTTTCAGAGGCACGAAGAACCAAAAGTGATTAATGAAGAATACGAACAGGTTAATAATATAAAATAATTAATAACACGTCAATGATACGACTTGTATATAAATAATAGTGTATTAAGCGAACCAGTACCATATAAAGTATAATTGTTCCAGGGGACTTACATTTATTTTGATTATGAAAAGTGGGGACAAAGAAAAAAGGAAGGTTTTACATTTGAGTACAAGTACTTAGAGGACAGAGATCTGAATTAACAGTCCTGTTGCTTGTGGAGTCTCCGAATGCACTATTTCTGTACCGATATTATGAAAAATCGAGGAAACAGATTTTATTTTTTGCAATTCTATATTTTCACAAAATATAATTTTATTTATTGGTAAAAAGTATCTCAGAAAAAAGTAAATGAAAGAAACAAAAACGAGACATGGCAGGCAATGAAGATATTTCATTATATTTTGACATTGCGATATTCCTTTTCGAGAAAACAGAAACGCAAAAACACGAATCACGCAGTTGAAAGAAACAAAAACGCAACTAATAAAGCAAATGGAGTAAGTTAATCGGGGACAATGTAACTATAAGATGTAATGAATGAGAAGCACCAGAAACACACTTTTAATATTTTAGTGTGTGGTGTGTGATACAAGAGGAAGTTATATTCGCTGGCGACTGACTCTGTAATACCAGTACAAACATGCGTGCGGCCCATCTGCCGTTTAGCGGCAAGGTGGAGGGCGCTCATGCTATGGTACGTCTTAATGTTAGATTATAAGTAGCCTTTTTGTATAAAGTATATTGAGATATAAAACCCTTAAAGTGAATTACTGTACAGAATGTGTAGAAATAGTGAATAATAATATTATGGAATATATTTTATTTCTCATTTAAATGAAACTTAAGTTGTTTCAATTTTTGACATCTGACACATCTTTGACACCTTGCATTCAGAACATTCCATCCACTAGATTTCTGCCCTCGACCAGGTTACTTATAGATATGTTCTAACAATTTATATAAGAATCTTGAACTCGTCGTCGAAGTCAAAATGGTCTCGTTATGTATATTCAAAATAGTTTAGTTTGTTAATTATTTCGCCAATGCATAATCCTATCGATTCAAGAAATTTTGGTTTAATTAGTTTTCTAGCAATTATTACGTTCAATGTGTTCGAATGACGATACGTGGTAATTATTGTGCATATGTATTTACAAACTAATAAAACACGGGGAGAGAAAGAACGAGAGCGAATGAGGAATACTGTACGAATTTATTTATTATAAATTATAACGATACTGGTTGGCTTGTCGACACTAATGAGGCATCTCTGATAAAAAAACATAAGAAAAGAAAATAAGATTCTCAATAGTTTGATATATACGTATATACATGTCAAACTACCGAGAATATGTATGTACATTTACTTCTTATACCTTTGATCTTTAACGTTTGATTGTTAAACGATACAAAACAGTATCGGTATTTGTAATAAATAACTTCAGACAAAAGAAGAAAAGAGCTTTTGCTTCAAAGATTGAAGTAATTTTACGCATACGTGTTATTTGTCATTACAAAAGCCTTCGACAACGAGATTAGACATATTACATTCGTTAGTAATAAAAAATAAAAAATTGAAATTTCTCACCTGATCTAGCGTTAGGACGAACTTATTGAACAAAGGATAGATATGTTCTAAATAGATATTCTTGTTATGAATGGAAATTGCGACGACCACTATATTTGCATGATACATAGTATCTGCTCATAGTTTTCTTCCTTTTTTTTTGTTTAATTTATATCAAAGACAGTATTCGAGTACTGTTATCGAATAATCGTACTCCCTTTTTTCTTTCTGGGAAAACAAAAGATGTTGTAGTAAATGCTGATTTATAAATTGTAATGTATTTCAGATTTATTCTTATAAATATTTGCAACATACTTATACACCATCCAGTATCAATGACCCTTCAATGGTGTTCAATATTTTAATGTATATCGAAGGTGTCATGCTTGTTAACATATATTAATGGAAGTTAGGTCAATAGGAATTACAGTTTACATTACAGCATTTTTAATTAGCATACTTTACAGTGAAAACTAAGTAGATACGAGTTACACACCAAGCATTTTTCTCTTTCTGCAGCATCGCATTATTCTTTGATGCACCTTTGATGAAAATCGTTTTACAGTCCCTGATGTATAGAAGAAGATACACTATTATATACAAAAGATAAATAAGGATTTGTTGCCACTTCATACAGTTGAACTTTAGCTTTTAAATGTTGCATTATAATTGTAAAAGTAAGACGGAACATTATTGTTCCTGAACTATTTTGTACTATGAAAATGTATACAATATGATTTTCTATAGAGATTTGAAAGAAAAACCTAACGAATTTTATGACTGAGTGCAGTATATAACATTTGTTACAAAGTTTTATTATCTTTTTAATACATTAAATATTTTAAATCCTTGTCTTGCATTCTTTTTAAGAACAGAATTCTAATTTGCAATTCAGAAAATATACAAGTAGAAAATTTAATTGATCGATACAAGTTGCAAATTCTTTCTAATTGCCCTTTTATTTTAAATTTTAAATAAAAGTATTAATAAATAATGCTGAAAATTTAAAATAACATTCAAATATTGTGATTTTGAATAATTTAATTTATATTATTCTCATTCAGATAAGCATATTTGCTCAATACAAAAAAATTATTATGATAAAGCAATGGTATCGTAGATAGTGACAAAATGTCAAAGAATTTCTCTTGTTTTACAACTTCTGAATGCAATAATTCATAATTGCACGGTCAAGTTCATTAGTTATAAATTAAAACAACAGTAATCATCAAAGGATTTCATTCTCACCGTTTTAACGAAGATAGATACTTGAATGTCGCAAAAGGGAGTAAGTGTAGTTTTGTAAAATGACAGTTACTTAAGAATCTTAATACAAACTGTGAGTTTGGAATAAACACATGGAATACATACGAAGGTAATGGTGGTTTGATTTATAAAAACAAACAAATAAGAATGCCAATAAAAACAAATACTATCTTGCATTTCTATTATTTATTAAGAAAAAGTAAATGTATTTGATAAGGTAGTCAAACTGTTTAACCTTTTCTACCCTTTCCATTACTTTTGCCTTTTATCCTTTTTCTAACTCCTATAAATTGTTCCGTATCATCATCCTCATTGTCGCCTTGTCGTCTTTTTCGTTTACCTAATTTTTTACTATCCTCTATATCTTTCATTTCCTAAAAGACAATAGTGTTTATAATAATAATAATAATTATTATTATTAGTATTGCTGTAATAATCAAATAGTAAATAATCGATACTACCATTTTTACAATACGTTGTGCTTCAGCTACTCTTTCTTGAAGCACCATTACTTCTTCTTCTTCCGTCGGATACAAGGGCAATTGTTTCGATATCAATTGTTCTATCCTTTGATACAGTTCTACGTCATACTGCGTTACAAATGTAATAGAACGACCAGAACGACCAGCACGTGCAGTACGTCCAACTCTATGTATATAATCTTTACTATGCGTAGGTATATCGAAATTTATTACAATATCTACGTGAGGAATATCAAGACCTCTAAAATAAAAGAAAAAAAAAATCGGGAAAAGTGAAAAAATAAAATCGCAAACTAAATAAATTAAATAGCGTGTGTTTACCTGCTGGCAACATCTGTGGAAATAAGTATAGATCGATTTTTTGCCTTGAATTTAGTAAGAGCAGCTATTCTCTTGTTCTGTGACATTTGCCCATGTAAAGGAACTGCAGTGAAGCCCAAATTTCGTAAAAGAAGGGCTGTTCTAACTGTATTGTTGCAAGTTGCGCAAAATATCATAAAACTGTTACCTGCTAATTCATTTAAGATATGTACAAGATAAACATCCTGCAATATAAAATTTTACTATAGAAAGGATATTGCAATATTTATACAAAAATTTTAAAAAAAATTATCAAATTATTTTGATACTTTGAATTTGACGGGTATAAAAATATAATACTGTTGTAATTTTTCAACGGTTTGGTACTTTGTTGAAACTTCTACTTTAACAGGATTCCGCAAAGATGCTCGTTGTAATTTCTGAACCTTCTTAGTCATTGTCGCAGAGAACAACAACGTTTTCCTTTCTCGAGGAATCACCCTTAAAATTTTATCTACCTCAACTTCAAAATCCATATTCAAAATTCTATCAGCCTCGTCCATGACCTTTCAAAATTAAAATGACAGATTAATTGATTTCTTATCAATATATTTTAAAAGTTGTTATTACTTACCAAAAATTTTAAAGAACGCAAATTAAAACCTTTAGTGTTTTCCAAATGGTCAACTAATCTACCTGGAGTGGCAATTAAAATATGTGGCTTCTTTGCCAATAACAAAGCTTGCGACATCATGTCCATTCCACCTACTATTACTACACATTTCACTCCAATACTTGATCCTGTAGTGCAATAACATTATATGTCATATTCGTGAGAGTACATTGTTTGAAATTATTACAAAATGATATACTCATTACCTAAAGCTTCAAATTGCTCCGATATTTGAAAGGCCAATTCTCTGGTAGGTGTTAAGATTAATGCAAAATATCTTTGTGGATTTTCTAAGAGTCCCTGTAGTATAGGAAGGGCAAATGCAGCAGTTTTACCAGATCCTGTTTCTGCTAATCCAATTACGTCTTTACCTAATACATTTTTAATTCAATTTTATATTTACTTCAACGTTTCAATTCTAATTTTTTTATTTTTCATATATGTATATATCTGTGTCTTTCTAATTTACCTTCAAGTGCTAATGGAATAGCTTCACACTGAATTTTTGTAGGTGATTTCCACTTTAGATCTTCACATGCTTTGCACAATGTATCTACGATACCCTAGAGATATTGACAACTAATATTATCTCGTGTGTAATTTATTCATTGCCAAAACTATAAGATATAAATAAGGTGTAAAAAGAAGATAAAGGCAAATATAGTGTGCAAACATAAACATATTCCAAGTGCATCACATATTAATTTTGAGATATTGTTAACAATGTTATAATTGCAAGTATAAGTTGTTTATAAAGTGGATTTATTTTTTACAGCCATCCAGAAAAATTTATTTCAGATATATTGTTATCATTAAATTAAACAATTGATTAAATTATTATATTAAAAAACGTATACATATGTTGAGAAAAACACATATTCATTTTGATAAGGTTAGGTTTCTTTCCTAGATATTTTTAAACTTACCAATTCTTTCCATGAGGTTTCCTTTGGATTTTCTCCATTCTGCTCTTTTATCGAACTGCTTTCCTCCATTTTTTAATCACTAATAAGGGTAAAATGCAATTAATGACCATTAATGTTTGACCACACTGAAGTTTTATCTTCGCTACGAATGTAGGTTATGTTCCGAGAAATTATACATCATCTAGACGAAACTGTTTCACTCTGAAATTAAAGAAAAACGAAAACTCCGACAGATGGCAACATATTACTTGTCTTTTTAGTTTTATATAAACCCAATAGATGGCAGTAGCTTCTCTGTCTGTGTGGCGGCGCGAGTACTTAAAAAAGCGAGTTTAACAGCGGCGACGCTGATTTAATTAAAATGAAGAATGAAGAAAATAAAGAAAGCAGAAAATATTTTGTATTCTCAGTTGTTAATAATCAATCAAAACAAACGGTCGTTATAAAATCTTGTTAAACATTAATATTAATAAATAGTTATTGTTACAGTTTCTTGTTAAATTTCACAATATTTTTATTTAAAGGAGTAAACCTTCTTAGCCATACGCGACTCACTTAAAGAGCAGAGCGGTGACGCCGATAGCAAAAGAAAATATGATATAATGCGACAAGGACCGATGAGCCGTACACCACGTGAGAGACAAGAAAAATAAGAATGTTTCGACAAGGACAAAGTTAGCCATTAGTTCCCTTGTTTTACCGCTACGTGGCGCATTTCAGTGTCCATGAATCGATTAAATTTTCATTTGTAGAAACGATTAATTAAAGGTATTAATTTCTGAATTTTTATAACTACGACTTCAAAATTAGAGCCTATATCTATTTCCCCTTATATATCATTTGATTTACAAAATGTCTGTACAAAGATTTACAAATTCTACTCAATACATCTGAGCATGCGTTAAAATAATTTTATCAGGTAAATTGAATTTATTATAAATTGTATCGTGTAATTCTTTAGACTGATTCCTTTTGAAGATAATACAACTGTTTTATTTTACTTTTAATTACTCTTAACCTGATCTTTCTTAAATCGTTTTTCCTTGTCATTAATATTAATGAAGAAATTTTGAGAAATTCTTCGCTTGCATCGAACCGAAAATGTGAATAAACATATGAAAATATAAATAAACAAGTTAAAATGTAAATGAACAAACAAAATTTAGAAACAAAGAAAAAGATATCATATACAAGCACTGATGTAATGTATATGTAGATGTTCAAACCGATTGATCTTCAAACGTGCAACTAATTTAATTAGAAGGATTTATTTTTTGATAATTTTCCTAAAAGATTTAAAGATTGAAATTGGTCATTTGAGGATCGTTAGCTCTAGGTTGTAAGCTGTAATATGAAATGCAGTAATATACAACCAATTGTAATATTTTTACATTTATAATTATGGAAAATAATAATGATCGTTACTAATGACTCTAAATAACTGATGATATTAAATACTAAATAACTAAATGACTAATTAATTAATTAATTAAAGCAAGAAATTCCAAAAACGCATCGAGCGATAGGTCTATTTCTATTTGGTTTTTACCTCGTTGAAGACATTACGTAACAGAGAGTCTGCGTGAACATAGTTAGAGCTACGAGCACAAGGGGCGCTGTAACATCGAATGCTTGCACAATGGTGGTTCTGGTTCATCGTTTGTTTCATAATGTGCCTGTTTAAAGGAGATTCGTAAAAGTGAAAACTCTGTCGCGTGTCAGTGAATTGACCTGTATGAACGTGAATCTGCAGTAGTGATGTCCTCGTACACATTCTCGCAGAGAGTACTTACGCCCATACCACCGGATAAAGGTAGCTTTCCACTGGACCATGAGGGTATCTGCAAGAAGCTCATGATCAAATATATGCGCTGCCTGCTCGACAATAAGAACGAGAACACAATGTGTCGAGATATCATAAAGAATTATCTTGCCTGCCGAATGGATAACGAGCTTATGGCGCGAGAAGAGTGGTCCAATCTTGGTTTCTCCGACGAGGTCAAGGAGACATAACAGCAGCGATTTATTACTAATCGATTGTCGCCGCGTTCTAGATTGCTGCCTCTTATCTGTAACACTTGATCGGTATTTACGAACTTTCTCGCTGATCACATTCTCGTTTCACTCCCACGAATTTTATGAGTGTATTTACAAATTTGTAGCAGCGTATAACTTGTGTACATACATTACGAATATATTACAGATAATGTACTTATTGTATACGTACGTAAGTCCAAAATGATTCGCGAACGACGATAATTCGACGATTCGATGCTATCGACAGAAAATTTTTTTTTTAATGTAATTTTAAGTCGGTCAAGTTAAAGCGATTTCAGTGCAGTGAAGAGACTTGATAACGAATTGTTAAATACTTAAAGCAAAGCTGTTCAAAAACAATGAAGCATTTAACATAAAAAAATTTAGGAAGAAAAAAAAAAAGATATCGATCTTCTCATAAATCAATCTCGCAAAGTACCGGTTCTCGTTAATCGTAGTTTCTCGATGATCGATGTAATCTAGACTATTTTGCATCGGATGGCCTACAATGTAAGAATGTATCTTTGTAAGATATGTTGTAAGGTTTGAGTTTTTATGGCACATCACCTGTTAACATAATCCATAGAACAAAATTATATAATTAGAGAAAGAACACTAGAGAAGGAAGAGAACATAAATATATGAAAATGTCAAGCACCTCTAGAAAGAAGATTTTAATTGGTTGCACTGGTAGTGTTGCGACGATTAAGTTGCCGCAACTGGTAGAGAAGTTATGGCAGAACAATTTGGAGGTAAGAATAGTGGTCACTGAGAAAGCCAAGCATTTCTTGAAAGAGGCAGAACTACCTCCAGGGATTCAAGTGCTATCCGACACGGTAGAATGGGCAGCTTGGCAAGACAGAGGCGACCCTGTGTTACACATTGATTTGGTGAAATGGGCTGATTTATTTCTAATTGCTCCGTTGGATGCTAATACCCTTGGTAAAATAGCCAGTGGTATATGCGATAACATCCTAACTTGCGTTGCACGTGCTTGGGACCCACTGAAGCCTTTGGTCTTTTGCCCTGCCATGAACACAAAAATGTGGGAACATCCTGTTACTGCGCCACAGGTATCTAATTCATGATATCTTGAAGTCTTACATACATTAGCTAGCATTAAACACAGATAAAAATCTTGCAGTTTTTTAATTAGATTAAACAAGATAAAGAGCAAAAACTTGTTTCAGCTGTGTTATTTAAATTTAATTTGTTATTTGTTTTAGATGTACAAGAATGTTTAAGAACTTGCTTGAGAAAAACAATACTAGATTCTGATGGAACTTATCAAACATAAATCTGTGGTATTGTATAATTAATATTGATTATTCTCATGCTTTTCTTTTTTTAGGTAGCTTTGTTGAAATCTTGGGGATACAAGGAAGTTGCATGCATTTCCAAAACTCTCATGTGCGGCGACGTAGGCATAGGTGGAATGGCAGAAGTAGATACTATTGTTCATACTGCATTGAGATTGCTTAATCCTTGGGATCCGTATTCGCCTCCAGATTTTCGCTTTTA